AGATTTTTCATTTTGCATTAACTTTTCTAAATGATTGACAAAATTCCAAATGAAGGGCAACATATTTTACCAAAGCAATAATTATTCTTGAAAATTCTAGACATATTTCACCAATGAAATACCACAATCTTTTCAGCAAAACATTTTTCTACTTCTCTCTAAAAGAAAATTAATGTCTGGAATTCAAGTTGTAGTAGCAGAATTACCTCTGTCTACTGTCAAGCTTTGGCTGGATGTGATATTTGCAGGTCACGGCTGAAAACAACTGGGAGCTGTTCTGGGAGTCTACTTTGCCTTTTTAGGTTATGAGGGTCTCACTGTGTTTAGGATAACATGATTGGCAGCTCCACACCAGCTCCAATTAGCACCCTATAATTTATTAGCTTCTGCTTTCAGATTATGCGTTAACTTCACAAATATTTCAGCTACGGAAACAGCAGCTATCAAGTATCTCTTTCTTGATCCAGCCCTCTGGGTCTGGAGTGAACTACAAGGAAAGAACAGTACAGTTGTTGTGTCAAGTGAGAGTAATCATTTGTGTCTGTGCCTGTCTGAGGGCATGGTGTCTCTGATTTCTCTTTAGGAGTGTGAGTGTGTGTGTGTTGAGTGTTTTGAGACAAATAATATTTGTGAATCAACAAATTCTATTGTGTGGATACTCTACTGGTATGTAGAGTTTTAGTATAATATGAGCGATACAGTATTTTAGAAATTTGGAATTTGTGTCACCTTAACTCTGGTGCTCACATAAATGTCACTTAAGTTGTATACAATAATGACTGTGCTGATATTGTCTTTAGGTAGGACATTATTCCTTTATTCCTAAAATGTTAGGAGGAAGAATAGAAAACAAAAGACTTTGTAAAATATAAACTATGAATTATTTGCATGCAAGCTGACAAAATGCCTGTTTAACTCTATAATGAAATATATTTTTAATATTGTATATCTTTAAGGTTTTTCTGAGAATTTTCAAAAGTTGTTTTTCCATGCTAATACATCCCCTCACAAAACTAAAAATGCAGTTTACGAAAATGGTTTCTATTGTGGAAAGCCAATTCTTAAGTTTTTAAAAATTATTATTTTTGAAATACAGAATTATAAAGAGGAAGATCTTCTATCCATTAGCTCACTCTCCAAATGGCTGCAATGGCTAGAGCTGAGCTGATCTGAAGTCAGAAGCCTGGAGCTTATTTTGGGTCTCCTATGCAGGTCAGGGTCCAAGCACTTTGATTCATCCTCCTCTGCTCTCCCAGGTCACCAGCAGGGAGTTGGATGGAAAGTGGAGCAGCTAGGACACAAGGACACAAACCAGTTTCCAAATGGGATGCTGGTACTTGCAGGTAGAGGATTACAACAGTTGAGCCAACATGCTGGCCCCTAAGTTTTTTTTTTTTTTTTAAGTAAAGTAACCAATCATTGTGTGAAATAAGAGCCTTTAAAAAAAAATCTATATCTGCATGCCTAAACAAATATATAAGCTTTGTGATTCAAAACCACAACAGAAGTTAAAATTACCTTAAGAGTTACTTTTCTTAGATACAAGTAGGCACAGAAAAAAAAAAAAAACAGTACTTAAAACAAGAATGGCCAGAGAAGCTTCTAAAAGCAGGGAATTGGCATTCTAATTCCCACTGCTTCTACCCTACCTCCTATCCAGGCCCAAATCAATGTTAAGTCATTGCTAGAATTTACCATGCATTGAAACAGACTTCAAAGGGGAAAAAGACTCGGTGGCTGCTCTCTTTAAACTAAAGCAGTGGAACAGATAGAATTCCATGCAGCTGGGTAGACTCAGTTCTCAGCCAGAAAGCAAGGGGCACAAGTATTACTTCGCGGTAGAGTGCCGTCTCTCCCCTTTTCATCACCTCTTCCTTGGCTTAAGCCAAGTGCAAAGGGGAAGCTGTGGGTGAGGAGGACATCAGGTGCCAAGGAGAATCAAACTTTTAGGACCCTCAATCAGGTTATATATTTGTATACGCCATGTTTCCTTTTCTTGTACCATCCCTCATTTCATAGAACATCATTTTCCCAATGTTAGAACTTACTTGGTTCTACAGTTTCACCAACATTAGCAAGCGAGGCAGGGGAGTTTCTGTTTTGTAAGACTGGTGTGCCTAGAGAATAACAAGGCTATTACTTCACTGAAGTTCCCTTGGACATTCTTATAATACAGAATCAAATCATTATAGCTCTTAATCATCCTGCACTCTTAAGCTGGGTGGATATAAAACAGAGAGAAATGCTGTGACTTTGCAGGTTGTATGTGCCAGGCTGCAGGAGCCTGGACTGAGATCATCAGCAGCAGTCTGGATGTTCCGTTGAAGACTGCATAAGGCCAGTTCCAGTGAATGAGTCTCCTCACCAGCAACCTGATATTCAGGTCAGATGTGGCTTAGAAGAGAGATTTCGGTAATTAGAACCTCGTGGCTGGGAAAATACTCTCTGTCGGTTCTGACCACAGAACTTGTGAGTGCTAACGCAGGTGGAGCACAGGTAAAGACCGCTTCCATTGGCAACACTTGATGACTATGTTGAGCAGAGCATGCACTGCTGTGTTTTTATCTCCTATGGCATATTCTGTGACAAATTCTGAAAAGCACACTGGGATTTAATACATTTTATTTATGCTCGTAGACACCAGTAATCCATGCCAGTGGAACATGGATTTAAAAAAATCCACAGAGAAGTCCAAAGTTAATTTTAGTTATTGCTGCTATATCCAAACTTCAGAGCAGCTCTCACTGGGCTGGGTTAGGTTTGGGTGTGAAGAACTTTAGAAGAGAGAGGAATGTTACATACTGAAATGAATTAATAAGAGACACAATAGTAATTCCCTTCTAGAGACAAATAGAGATCTGCATCTGGCAGGTCTAAAGGTAGTAGCATTTGATAAAGGAGTTTAGACAATATCCTGTGATATTCCTTTAAAGTTTGGATTACTTTGAGTCCCACAAAATACCAGTGCTTGCTCTGCTCTTTTTCCTTTTGTGTTCATCTACTGTGGAGAACAAACAAGCCCAAAGTTGGACAGCAAGGAAACAAATTAGAATCAGACAAGCACTTATTGCTGCCTGCATTTGCATCCTGGCTTTGCCACCTGCAAGGCTTATGATCGGCCAATGATTCTCCTTGGTGTGTCTTAGTTTTCCAGTCTCTAAGATTATCGTAATAAATATCACATAGAAATGTTTTGAGGATTGAATGAATTAATATTTACATAAAGCTTTCAGAGTAGTGTCTGGTGCATGAGAAATAATTAACATTGGGGCAGCATACCCACAATCACAGTGCATCTGAGCAAGAACTGCAATAGCGTTTTTGTGGTTATAGTATTTCCTTCACATGTTTGCAAATGTAGAAAGAGAGACAGATAATTCCACCAAGTACGTGTCCTAAGTAAGATACTTTAACTGTTTCCAATTCTCGAGATTATTATCCAAGATGGACTATATTTGTTTTTCATGTTATCATGAAAGCCAGAAGTGGAATAATGTTTTTTAACCTTTGACAATGTACCAAGACAATTTGAGCATGATGTAAAATGTCTCCTCAGAAAATGTCAGTTTCTTGGTATCTATGTCTTGTTTCTTCTCCCTTTCTTTGTCTCCTCCCTTCATTCCTTCTCTCCCTCTCTTCCTCCAATTTTCTGTCCAGTGAAAGATCTGGTTTCTAAGCTTATTTTTATTTAAATATAAGAATCCCAATAATTCAGAAACATTTTAAACTTGACTGCCTTCATAATCTAGAATTTAACAAGTATCAGTAATTCCCACTTGGGAAATAATGAATCTGTGTCTGTATAAGGATGTAAAGGTGACGCTCTGTGGAACACCTCTGTTTCTGACTTGCTCTGTGTTAACAGGTGGGCCTTTGGATTCTACAAGCCAAGCTTTTCTCATCTGTATGACAGAGGGAAGAAATTTAACTTCTTATGCCCAGAGTTGATATGAATAGGAATGGAGTTAGCTGACTTCACAGCATAGCAAGCATTATGAGCAAACAAAAAACATATATGCATCCATATGTATATAGCTGTACTATATTTTATTCCACTAGAGAAAAACAGTGACACTGGTTTTTCTTTCATGAAACAACATTGTGAACTCATAGTAAACATGTATTTTTAATGTTCATAATGTTCATTTTTTTTTCTCATCACCTTCAGCTTTGCTCACATGCAAATTCCTCCTCCTGTCCCAACACTAAAGTAACCAAATCACAACTGTAGCGACTGACAAAAATATTCGTGGTACCAGAGACTCCACCTACATTTCTTCCTCTTGTGCTGATTCCTAGTTGCAATCTCTTGTTGCCATTTTTTTTTTTAATCCAGAGGATATAGAAGGGATAGAATTTGTTGAAGAGAGGAAGGGTTTCTTCTTTCATCATAAAATGTTCCTTGTACAAAAGTTTTATACATATACATACATATAAAATATATCCAGAGCAGTTGCAATTGTTCTGCCAAATACTGGGAAGTGCCACGTTGGTCAGTGTATTTCTGGAGTTTTAAACAGTTGTCTTACAACAGCTGCATTTCAGTAAGACTTTGGCAGGTGGCTCCAGATAAGCCACTTGCCACTCACATTCAGACTGAGGAGTCCATGTTCACAGTCCAGAGGAAAAAGTGTGTCTTTGTGTCTGGAGCGGGTGTTGATTTGGGGCAGCAAGGGAGCTGGTGGCTGAGCAATGAGGAAGAAGGAACAAGGTTCTTTTCACTTCTCTACCACAGTTTTTGATGCATATAAATGCATTTTAGAATCTGAGTATAATGGCATTAGTAGTGCTACATCCACACTACCTAATGAAAAAAATTCACATCAGCCTAAAATATTCACACCCAAAAGTCTTTTTCACTTTCCCTCTTTCCAGGAAAGCACATGATACCATAAGACCTGACCAATCATCTCACCATAATTAGTTCCTTCCACTGACTGGGCCAAAGTCCTTACAAACAATCCAGTCTTTGGATCTGCTCTTTCAGTTTTAGAGCAAATTTGAGATGAGATTTCTGCAGATGTGGTTTTTGGTTTTCCCAACACATGGAGAAGTTTGAAGTCTCTGCTTTCCCCTTGTGTTCTCATCCACGAAGTGGGAGGCACAGATGTTGCACCTCCGTGGCTGGTGAGAAGGAAAAGGGAAGGGAAAGCCTGGGTCAGCAGATCAGCTCAGAAGGGGTGCACCACAGAGGGAATAGCGACGAGCTGCAAACCAAGATCAGAAGCCATTACAAACCCACTCCATTTCGGCTGAGTGTCACCAATCGCACTATGCAGAGACCTACAGGGGAGAAGGTGGGTTGTCTAAAACCAGTACACATCCTTGCTTTTGTTCTGAGGCTGCAAACCTGTAAACAGAGACAAGGGGGAGAGAGACAGAGGAGAGAGAGGAGGGGACGAAGAGATAAAGGCAGGGAGGGAGGTAGAGAGAGGAAAAGAGGGACAAAGGGGGTGGGGAGGAAAGGCACAGATATTAAGGAAAGAGAAAGACACACATCTTAGTTTCATTGCGACAGTCATAGACTCCACCTAACCAGGCAGGGTGAGTGACAGTAAACGCAAAGGAACAAAGAAACAAAGAAACAAACAAAAAACAACCTAGGGAATTGGGAGTAGGTAAGACTACAGTTAAGCCAAAGAATGCACCTGTTATATATCTAGTTTGCTTTGCCTCCAAAGTAAAGTGAGCTAAAATGAAACCAAAAGCCATATTTAAATGTACCATTTAAACTTAACTCTTTCATTCAGAGACTAAATATTATTGTTGAAATGTTGTTTTTCATTTCCAAAGAGAGCTATTTAATCTGCCAGTTATGCAGCTATTACAGCCCCCACCTTTTTCTTTCCTGATTATTTGCGACCAGGTGGAAAGACCCTAAACCCATGGAGGGTTATAATGACATCCCCAGCAAGGTCCTTAGATCAGCGCCTTCCAATGAAAAAATACAACGGGAGCCATAGGCATAATTCCAAATGTTCTAGCAGCCACATTGAAGAAAAGCAAAAAGAAATAAGTGAGCTTTAATACACTGAACCTAATATAGTAAATATGCAATGTGTTGAAGGTATTTCGAACATGCAGTCTCGTTCATAACTGTATGTTCGAGATGACCTTCAAGCAGTTTTGCAATTTTAGAAACGCAGCTGTACCCAGGGAGCACTTTTTAATCTGCCCTAGCCACATATCAACGGCTAGTGGCTGCAGCATTGAACAGCACAGAGCTAGACTCTGCCCATCCAATTTTTTTCTTTTATTTAAAACATAACGTCCTCTGTGATATTTACCAGCTAGGTTAGGGCAAATCTTACATGTTCATTCCACCCTGGCAAAGTGTCACCTATCATGTCGAAGCACTATGCCAGGCACTTTTAGCTACTGACTCCTGCGGGGTCTCCAAGACAGCTACGGGCGTTGGGGCTTGGCCCAGGGGTCTGAAACTTGGCAACACGCGCCGCCTCGGAGAGGCCAAACTCCCTCTTGCGCTTACCTGAATCCACGCTGAGGCTCAGGCCCTGCGCCACGTCCCCCGTGGGACTTGCGAAGGGACCCCCGGGGGCACTCCAGGAGGGGCCGGCCGATTCACCCTTGGAGGAGAGCTCGCAAGGTGGACTACCTGGAGCGGGAGCAGGGGCAGAGGCAGGGGCGAGGCGTGCCGGGCGACCCGAAGCGGCTGGCATCAACAGCGGGCCGTAGCGTGGATCGAAGTGTGGCGCGTAGACCTCGTGCACAGCCGCCGGCCGAGGGTAGGCGGCGGCCTGGGCGCCCAGGGCGCCGCCCAGCGCGTAGGGGTGATGCGGATGTGCATGATGCGGGTGCGCGTGGTGCCAGGGCTCGGCGGCGCCCTGGTGCAGGTGGCTGTGCAATGTCGCGGGCGAATATGGGTCGGCAGCGGCAAAAGGCAGCTCAGAGTGCGCAGCGGCCAAAGGGCTGCCCAGGGGCGCGGGTACCGGAGCCTGATACGCGCTGTTCCAGAAGGAGGCAGGGAAGCTGCGCTGGCTCATCGGAAAGGAGCCGTCTGCGGGCCAGAGAGGCGGAGGGGAGAAAAGGAAGACAGGACATGTCACTGCCAGGAGCCTCCAACCCGCACCCAACCAAAAGGCGCGGGACCCGCAAATAGCAGGAAAGCTTCGGCTACGGCAGTGAGCAGCCTCCGCTTCCTAGGGGCTGCAAGGTGCAAAGACGATTTCCTGGAGCACCTGGGGAAGAAAGTTGCGTGCTCCAAGCAGAAACCCCGGGGAGCTGAGTTCGCGGCAGCTCCCCCTCCGCAGCCTCAGGGCAGACTCCAACCTCCCCTTCCCCGCCCTCACCTAGCTGATGTTATATCTCTTCCCTCCTGCTCAGTCTGCCGCCTGGCGCTCTCACTGCCCCTCGCGCCTTCCTGCCCGCCTGTCTCCAGAAAACCTGCCCCTCTGAAGCCTCAGAGAAACTGGAAGGCCATTGACATATTTCGAAGTCTTGCTATTATTAGTTTTCTTTCTAGAAACCATTCACATATCCACCCCCCCCCCGCCCCTTAAGAACTCCGGAGAAAAAATCAACAGGATTTATGTAAAAGCCGGCTCTACTAGTTACACAAGTACCTAAAAGAGGTGCTTTCCCGCCCAAGTTATAATGAACGAACTGGGAACGTTTTATGAGCGCAGCATTTCTACAGCGTTTGCTGCTTGCAGTTGGGAAAGACATTTACTTAAGAGAGCCTTTATACCTTGGAGAAGACATATTCACCACATCTCAGATAATTGAGAATGATTTTTACATGTACATTCTAAATGTTGAACTGTCTTCCTATTTAAAAGATAAAGGCAAATGGAATGAAAACCGAATGCAATTAAAATGACTGCCCTATTTGTATCTTGTTTAAGGGCAAGATTGCGCAAATTGCCAAACTTTCTCAAGAAAAAAAAAAATCGAGAATGAGGGTTATCATTTCCTCTAAGTGGCAAATGAAAATTTGTCTCTTTAAAAAAATAAATCTTGATTTCAGAGCATGGTGCATATTAAAAAAAAATAAAGTTCCTGAAGATGCCTTCTAAACACTCCTCCTGTGTTTGTCTCAAAGTTGATGAATAATATTGAGATTTCCAAATAGTAGGAAGAATTCATTGATTTGTACAGACCTAAGAAATCCTTATTCCAGGCTATAGTAAGGCAGTGCCTTGCGGGGGACTCCAGAAAATAAAGACAGAATGTATTTTGGGAAAACTCTTAATGATATCTTGGCTGCTCCTTGGCTGTTTTCCTGACATATTGAAGGATTATCTGTTTCAAGATTTCCCAAGTAATTGCAGTCTGCAGAAGGCACATGTCTGTTTCAGGAGACACTCATCACTAGGCTTTGGTTGTGGGTCTAGGGCTTTTTGTCCTGGGCAAATTTTCAGAAAGTGGGAAAGTGGCCAGTAAGTTATGGCTGATGGAGGTCATCTGCCCTCTGGTTTGGGAGGGTGCTGGGAAAGTTGTGTTTCCACAGTACACCTACATGCTTTTTTTAAAATGTTTGAATCCCACAGCCTTCTAAGGATAGTAAGGAGGACAAATGTTATTCTAATTTTAGAGATCAGTAAATAGAGTGACCTCAAAAAGGTTAAGAGACTTGCCCAAGGTCATATTGTTAGGCACTGGTGGAGCCAACTTACACACCCACGCCTTCCAATTCCAGGGTTAGTGTTTGATCCCAGGTCACGGTTCTGCTCTGTCTCTTCCCCAGTTCTGTGTTCTCCTAAATGCTCATCTTCACCCCTTCGCAGATACTGGGAGTTACACTAGCTGCATATCCCTGGGTCTCCCTGAGTGGACCCCAGGCTAAGAGGACCTCTTCTTGTTAGGGTCTCAAACTCACCTCGCCAGGGCCCAGAGCCTCTTGGTGTTTTGCTGATGGTACAGCTTGGCGAGTAGCTACTAGGCTGGCTTAGAGCCCTGCTAAAATGTTCATCCACCACAGAGCTGATGTCCCCTTGGAAATAGGTGAAGAGGACACAGCGAGAGTTGATGTACTCTGCCTCTGGTGGGCGCTCTTTCTCTGGACTGCCTTCTTCCTCTTTTATACTGGCTGGGGTTTGGCTGGAAAAAGAGGAGCTGCCGCTGGCGCTGCTGCTGGGGCTGGCGTTGCATTCCTGGGCTTCCTGCATTTTGGAGTAATAGGCTAGTTTCTGCTTAGAGAGAGAAAGAATACGAACATCAGTTTCAAAAGACGTGGCAGATTGGGTTTAACAGAAACTTTCATCCCAAAGTCTAACATTACCACAGCAAACCTGGCTTGCATGCCTAAGCCCTGTGCTCTCTGTGGGTAATAGCAGCGATGTGGGACCCAGGGGCAGAAGGGATCTAAACTTGCACTTAAGCAAGGAGGGGTGGGGCAGGATAGGTGGAGTCTTTCTTAGAAGATTACCATTGATGGTCTTTGCCTTCCTGGAGTTGCTACTGAGAAAGTACCAGGATGAAAGTCTCAGAAGACACCTAATCAGCCAGGTTGCAAGTTGAATTTGACCTCAGAGCTGGGTTCAGAGCCGATACTGTTTAAAAACCAGCTTCCAGAGATAAAGGGCATCCAAGTCTGGCTAAGTCCTGACTGTTCCCTGTCTGAGAATCCAGGACAGAAGCCTAAGATGCAATATTAATACTCATATGAGAATGTGCCTGCTTACCAACACAGACACACTTGCAAATCCACTCCTGGAAACCAAGAATGTAAAGGAAGAGCTGCCACAGGCAGTGTGAAACAGCTGCATTTAGCATGATTCCCATGATAGAAATGTGAAATAATATTCTGACTTTGGTTAATCTAGTATACTTTAATCAATGTAAATTGATATTTGTTTGCTCACCGCTAAGCCTTCATTTAAAAATTGGTCTCACTATTAAAACAGATCTCCTAAGTAAGGAAGAAGCAATGGATCACCATTGTCCAACGGAGACTTCTCAATACACACAGAGGAAATAAGTCATAACATGATGTGGAAGATCAACGTTCTGGTTGCACTTTTGGGTAAACTATGAGGTCTGGTTCAATTTTAAAAGTCAAGTGCATCTGCTGAGAACATGTTCTTCAGAATAAGTAAAGCATTCTGCAGGCAGACAGCCTTGCTGGGGTCTGCTGCCGCAGAATGAGCAGAGAGATCTTAATGTAACAGACCAACCTGCCTCTCTTCTCTTTGCAATAGTCTCATCTTTGGAAGGAGCTCATCTCAGAGGTTGGAGCCAGTAGGGTCCAGTTATTTAGTAATATCACCATTTCTTAACTGCTACCTTTCCACCTGTCTTACAATGAGGGACTCTGGTGATTCCTAAAATTAACATGGAGACTACACAAAATACTGGTCAGAAGGTCTTTAAAAAGGGGAAGAGGAAACAAAACAAAAAACAATACCTACCCAATTCATCACCAATTTATCATCAAATTCCCGAGCAGATATTTTGTATTTGCAAACAAAATTAGTAGGAAACATCAACTCTGTGGTTGGAGTGTCCTCCAGTTTTCCCAAAGCAGGAAGTGTAGACCGGCCCTTTCCGACCTGGTCAGAACCCCTATTTTATCCATTTCCTTAGATTCTGATATGTCAACTGAGGAAATGGAAGAAATGAAACTCAGGCTATAAACAGCCCAAATAACAGGAAAATTGGTCAAATTTAATGAAAGTTATAGAGTTTACAGAATCGGAGTTAAGTGGTCTCTTAAAAAATGAGTTGGTTGAAAGCAGGGCTGCTGATTCAGCTAGTCAAACTGGAGAAAGCAGAGGTACCCATGCAGCTTGCCTCTGCTGGATCAAACACTCCCTAGTAAGACTCCCAGGAAGTTTACAAACATCGTAAAACCAATGCGATCTGAGCAGCTGGGCCTTGCTACTGATTTGCTGGTTCTGTAGTTAATCAGTGGGCTCGCCTGAGAACTGAAATGGAAGGAACTCTTCCTGAGACAAATTTACAAAGATAAGGAGGACCTTTGCATCTCAAAGAGAAAACGAGAGGTTGATCTTTGCTTTTCATTCTCCTTGCTGTTGTCACTTTTTTCAGGCGGACCAAAATTTAGTTTTGCTTACGCGGGCCCTTTCCACTGCTCCAAGCACCAGCAACAGATTGGAAGTTCGGTAAGACTCCATCAAGTTAAGTCCAGTCTGTGCTGCCTCGTTTGATACAGATTACGGGTAGGACACGGGCACACCTTAGCAAGCTTTAGCTGCTGCCTGGAGAGAGCAAACAGACGAACTAGAAGGGATAATTGTGCAACCAACCATGAGACAGCGCGGGCAATCCTCGCATCCGGACCGGCAGCCGCTGGTCCGATGCCCCGGGCGCGCGGAGGCATCAGGGAACTGGGAGTTCAGCGATGTTCCGGCAGCACTGAGCGCTACTGCTCCCCGAGGTCCCGGACTCACACCAAGAGGACCACGTACCTGGTGATAAGGCGTGTAGGCGGCTGCGAAGTAAGGCTGCGGAGGACCATAGACTTGGTACATAACATCCAGACAGCTCATGGCTCTCCGCAGTGGAAGTTAAATGATTTTTCATCAACACTCCTTCGGCAGAACTCAGCGATACTGCACCGGCGGCACTTGGGTTCCAGCTCCCAAGTCATGGGCAGCGCAGCGAGCGGCAGCGCGCTCTGCAGCTCGGGATCCCGCCCGCTCCTTTCCCTTCCCACTCCCGCAATTCTAGCCCCGATCGCGCTCGGGACAGGCGCGCCTAGGCTCCAGCCAGTGGACATTTAAACCCCACGCCTGGCGGGCGTGCTGACGCCACTCGGGGCCGCGGAGTGGGAGGCGGGAGGGTGGGACCGAGTGCTGGGGGCCAATGGGCAGTGAGGAATGCGCGCCCCAGTGGGCGCGCGTGTTTCCCTAAGGGTCCGGGGCAGCCAGCACGCGGCCCAGCTTGGCGCGGACTGCGGGGCCTGAGGCTTCACAGTACAAGGAGGAATTTCCTAGGGTATTATGAGAGGAAGAGAGAGAGAGGGAGCGCGCGAGCAATAGCTCGCTCGCTTGCTCGCAGGGGGAATTGGGACTCTTAGATGGAACAGGAGGAGTTGGGCAGAGGGCTCCTGGGAGAGCCCCAGGTTCAAGCTTGGGGAGCTAGTCTTAAGAGGAGCAAATTCCGTGCTCTGGGTTCCCAGCGATGCGTGTAAGCAGACCTGAGAGCGCTGTCCCACGAATCTCCTTAAGGGATCCAGGTCGCCGCCAATGTTCAGGGACTCGGGGACCGGTCGTTCCCGAGCGCGATCGAGCTCTCTTGGACGGTGAAATGTGGTTGCTGAAGCTGGTGACCGCTGTTCTGCCACCGCTTCTGCGCCTCCTGGCCTGTAGCTCCCACGTCCCAGTTCTGCTGTCTCGGGCCGACATCCCATTCTGCCCCTGTGAAGTCAGACCCTGCCCTTTTCTCTGGGACTCCTTTACCCCTGATTCCCCTCAGGCTGCGGTCGCTCCTCTTCTCCCGGCTGCGGCTGCGAGCTGCTTTCGAGGAGTGCGGAGGGCTTGTCCAGCCCCACACAGCCCGCTTTCCCCGGCGGCGGCTCCTCAGCCGGTGTCCTTTAAAATCTGGGCAAATGTTTGGAACTAGGACTCAATGGCTTTTAGAGGAGTAGTTCTAGGAAGCACAGGCGGCTTTGGCTGATCCATGAGCAGGCAACGGAAAACGCGACGCTCCGCTTCATTTTAACTAGTTCACAGAATGTGCCCTCCGTCGGCGAACCGCGCACCGCTAGGGAGCGGTGTTGGTTGACTTCCCCTGGTGCCCGGAGAACCGGCTGTGACTGTGGCGTTCTCCTCCTGGAAGTTTGGAAGTTTGGAAGTGCTTGGTTGCCTAGCTGGGTCAGGTGGAGCGGAAAGGAATAGTGGCTGTCTGACTTGGGGGAGAGGAGCAGAGTTTGGGACCTTTGGGAGCCAGACTTAAGAAAGCCAGGAGCTGAAACAATATTACTGTTTCATATTGACATCAAGTCATAACAGCCACATCAACAACAACAACAACAACAACATCAACAACGAAGTATATCACCCTGAAAAAAAAAATAACACACCACTGAATAGCCAACACATGCATGACAAAAGGGAAACACAGAAGTCTCTTGGGAAAAATGGTGCCATCATATACTTCCTGAGCACGTGATGAATTCTACTAGAGAATAGAGGTTATTTGGAAGCAACCAAACTGAAAAAAAAAACAATAAAATAAAATACATAAAATAAAAACCAGGATAGATTGGACTGTTGGAGTTACCCTTTCCATGTTGGCTTCCTTATATGAGAGAGAATATATGGTATTTGTTCTTTTGTGATTGACTCATTTGAAACAGTAATATTATTTCAACCCCAAACAGCCTGTATCTCATGCAATAAGATATTGTGAAGTAATCATTGAATCAATAATCGATATGAGTCAGACTGCTTCTGATCTACATCAAAGAATTGTAAAACCTAATATACTTGTAAGGCTCTATGCTACTCGGAAAGGGGGAGGGAGGGCAGAGAAATCTTACATCACCCAAGAAGGTGTGAGGAAGACGGGAAGTACAACAACAGACTCAAATCAGCATTAGACAATAGCAAAACTACGAAGGCATATGGGGGGACTCAGGAGCAATCCCAACAACCTCTTAATAGGAGGTCATATGCACAGAGCGGGGGTGGGGGGACCCCAGAGTGGAGCAGGCAAACAGGAAGAGGAATGTATCCCAACCCTGAAGACTCCTAGATCCTCACCAAGGACCAACCACCAAGGAGACCACAGGGAATTGGAGTGCCTTCGGAGGCCGAGAACTCTGAGGTCACCCATCTCCATTTGGATCTCCCACATGGGATGGTAGAAGTCCATACCACACCTTGCAGGATCCAAGGTCATCAGAACGACAACCAGGAGCACTGAGCAGTCCGCAGAAACAAAACAGTAAACTTCCTTCGGGACTAGGGAGAGGAGCTTTCTCTGGTTCTTGCCTGGTTCTAACATTGGGTCCCCACTCTCTCCCATAATGATCATCAGGATTGCTCCAGAAACCCCTCAAAACAAACAAACAAACAAACAAACAAAAACCCTAGAATAGATGGAGAACAGCAAGGAAAGCTTAGAAACAGGAAATGGGTAGTGGGGATGCACTTATAACTCACTGGTTGGGACACGAAGATTAGTTACTCCTCACTAGAGTATTGAAGATTTCTCTGCACACCCCTCCTAAAACCGTTCACCTGAACTGTTGACATATGTCTTGTTACAGTTAAAGAGTTAGACTACCAGAAAAACAGCCAGGTTCTGCAAAATCATGCTTCAATGCTACGAACTGCTAAATACTAAAATTAAAATAGACATGAGACAGCTGAATAGTAATCTATAGCCATTTTAAGGTGTATAGAACCCAGCTGTATATAAACTAATAATTGTAATGTCAATGTAGAAGTCATAGGATGTGGTTCAGAACTTGCACTCTTTTTTTTTGTTTTGTTTTGTTTTTTGTTTTTTCTCTCTCTCCTTGAACATGCTGGTTACACAATACCATGTCAACTAATTCCATTACGTTATAAATTGTTACTGATGTAATGTCGGGGCTTTTAATTGATTGGGATGAAACTCTTTTGGCTGTACCTTCAGACCAGAGACTGTCTCCCCATGAAACTGTTGAACTTAACTGGACAATAAGATGCTGGACTCTATGCTTTGTAAATGCTTGCAAGGAAAAAATCTCAACTGAATTTGACCTGTGGTAATGCAATAAGATGGAAGAATCCACCATGGGGGGGGAGGGACAGGTTTTTGGGGAGGGGAGCAGGGGATCTCAGTGCCTGTAAAACTGTGTCACATGATGCAATGTAATCAATCAATAAATTAAAAAAAAAAGCAAGGAGCGAGGACAACAGAGGCTATGGATAGATGTGCAGCTATCCCCTAGCTAAAATGGAATGGAAAGCTCCGCAGGGATTCCCAGGCTATAAAACTGCAAATGACTCCTTTGAAAAGGTTATGGGGAAGATGTTTGTGATGGATTTAAGCTTTAGATTTGTGTAGATATGTGTATGTATATGCACACACATTTATATATAGTTTTAGAAAGGTATATTTTAAACTGATTGTTTGAATGTTGAATTTTTATTTTTCACCTGTTTACAAATGGGCAATGTCTTCAGTTCATTCTGTAATTAAATAGGGAGCCATCCTAAGAGATCTGAATTTCCTGGACCATCTACCATGTAATTAACATAAATGAAAATTAACAATGAAGACAAGGACACATTTCTGTTTCAGCAGGTTAAGCCTCTCCTTGCCCTGTAATGTCCTTGTATCCTAGCAACCTATTGGAATTCTGGCCACTGTGCTTCTGATTCTCTTTTCTTTTCTTCTCTTTTTTTCCTTCTCTTTTCTAAAAGATTTATTTATTTATTTGGAAAGCCAAATATACAGAGAAGAGGAGAGACAGAGAGGAAGATCTTCCATCCGATGATTCAATCCCAAAGACACTGCAGTGGCTGGAGCTGAGCCAATCCAAAGCCAGGAGCCAGGAGCTTCCTCCACGTCTCCCATGTAGGTGCAGGGTCCCAAGGCCATGGGCCATCCTTGACTGCTTTCCCAGGCCACAGGCAGGGAGCTGGATGGGAAGCAGGACTGCAGGGATTAGAACCTGCGAGCATATGGGATCCCTGCATGCTAGGCGAAGACTTTAACCACTATGCTATCCAGTTTTCTGCAACTGCACCTGGGAATACCTGGGAAGAGAGCGAATACGGCCCAAGTACCTCGGCCCCTGCCACCTATGTACTGGTATGAGAGATCAGAATGGAATTCCTTACTCCTGGATTTGCCCTGGTTGCGGCTGGAAAGTGAACCAGTGGATTGAGTATCTCCCTTCACCTCTTCCCATCTGTTTGTCTTTAAAAAAAAAAAATATATATATATATATATATACATATATATATATATGCTTTTTAAAAAAACGAATAGACAGTCCTCTAGCCTAGTTGTATAACCAAGAGTCTTCTTAGCGGTAGGGCTGTGGGACAGGCAGAATAATTGTCTCTCTACACTTTCCCAGGAGTAAAAACCAAAATTTGTAAAGCCGACTGTCATCTAAGGAACTGTGCTTCTTGACAGTACCCAGCTGAGTGCCCTTGCAGGCTGGGGCCGCTCTGACCCTCCCTGGACCAGGGCTCTAGGTTGGCTTCAGTCAGAGCGCAGCTGTGTGGACACCTCCGGAACTCCGGGTGCCCATGAGCTGAGCACTGACTGAGGACGCAACGCAACAGACGCGCGGGTCCAACTCTCAGTTTTGCTTAGGTCCAGCATCACTTCATCCTGGAACACATAGCTTGTGGTTTCGCTTTTGCCAGGCTTAGGGCTTCTCCAGAGGGGAGCATCAGTGGCACGGGAGGCACACTCCTTCTGGCTCTTGTTGGGTCCAGCAGTTGGGCACCCAAATGCCAAAAATGCCCAGGCAAAGCAGTAGGAGGCAAGTGCTTGACCACGTGTGTGATCAACGCTTGGAAATTTTGCTCTTCTTTAAAAAAATGCTT